ACGAGTGTACGTGCACTGCGTCATTGTAACTTCTGTATTGTTAGCCAGGCATGGCTGGAAGGCAGTATAATAAAAATAATAAATATACATAAATGTATAATGTTATGAGATTTAAGCTACTTAGAAAAAAATTTATGTTTTTGTGTTATAATTTGTAGTCATTCAAGAACGAAAAAAGCATAATTTATATTTTTTTCCTAATTTTTATTAGTGTTACAAAGTCTATCAAACCAACAGATACAGAAATACAGTAGTGAAAATAACAAATATAATGTACAATTTTTTTCTACAAAAAATACAATAATTATCTGTAGCTTATAAAGGTTTTGCATGTGAAATTTGAAAATTTTTGAATGCATAAGTATTTTTAATCTTAAAATCAAAATTGCTTTGCATGTTGGACAGTCAACATTCTTAAAGAAAAAGGTTTATGAGAAAATCTTTAATTAAAAAATCTTAATACTCAATTTAAAAACCTGATATTTTGTGTACGAGAACCTTGTAATGTTTATCAATAGCCTGCAAAATTTTGTAAAGATGTGCGTACATTATCAAAAACCATAGTATAATTACTCTTATGGATACTTTCATGGTTATGAGCTGGGTGAATTCCACTCAGCCCATAATGGAAGGGTTAATCACTTTTCCTTTTATTAAGTATAAACATTTATTGGAAGGCTAATTGTGTTCTTAGGGTGGTCGAGCTGTGGATTTCAGAACTTGCAAGCTGGGTTCATATCCATGCTATATCACAAAATATTCCCTGCACACTTTAATGCATGTGGTAGGGTGCTTCTGACTGGCTGGTCAGTAATTCAAAATTAGAAATGGTGGCAGATAGCTTTATAGCAATTACAGAATAAACAAGTAGCTATATACTGAGTAGAAGAAGTGGTATTGTGTTTACATTTGTTAATTTTTTTAACTCTAATCCAACTTATATTTTTATGCCTGTTGTGTTTTTAAGACTTACATGTATAGTTTTTAGTGTTGAATACATTATTTCTCATGTAAAATTTTGATGCAATGTAACTAATCTGCTGAAAAACTAATACAAGTAGCTCCTAATGCATGAGTACTAATTTAAAGTTTCTTAGCCTCAGATCATCTTCACTATGTACTATAGCTAGACTGTTGCTTTTTTTCTTTTTTAGTGTCATTGGGATAAAAATGTATTGCCTCTCATTCTTTACACACATAATTTGTTTTGTTGGTATGATATTTCCAAAGTAATATACATATACTTTACACTTTATTTACAGAAATGGCAAAGATTGGTGATGGGAAGAAGGTATCTCAGATAGAATACATTGAGAATGAGCAGTTATTAATAGTCATCACAGGTAAGTTTTTGGAGAAAAATATATGTTGTTTGTCCATCAGTTGTAGAAATTAGCAAAAAGAAAGAGGTTGATTGTTTTCTCCCAAAAGAAGCGTTTATATTCAGTGCCTTTATGAATTAGTAAGTTGTAACAAGATTTTTGGAAATATTTTTATAGAAAAATTGCTGACAGCCATCTTTTAAACATGAAGTACAAGTCAGAAATGGAAAAAAAATCTTCTAGATAAACACATAGAAGAACCATTTATATGTCAAAGTGAGGTAGGTACCTACATTATACTGTAGAAAAATTGGAGCTGCAGGAAATCTGCCAATCAATACATGGAAGAAGAAACTTTTATAGGTCAAACTCTGCTGTGTACATTATATTAGCAAAATGTCAAAAGTATAAAAAATCTTTCAGAGGGAATGCAAGAAATGATGATTATTGGTAGATCATATGCTCTCATCAAACTAGAGAAAAGCTGGAAGTAAAAGAAAAACTATTAAATGAGTCCATGGAAGAACAAGATTCAAATACATATGAAACTGATACATAATCAAAAAAAAAGTTAATAAAGACCTGTTCAAATGATTACAAAAAAAAAAATTGTTGCAAACATATTGTACAGGAAGCGCATTTTTATCGGGAAAATATCAAATATGAAAGAAAAATATGAAGACTTTTGTATGGACAATTTGTATTAGACACAATGAACAAGTCTTTTATTAGAATGAGTACTCTCATCAAGAGCTAATGAAAACAAACATATTGGATTTTATTATTTATAAAGTATTTTTAGGTGAGTACACTTTAACTCTCAACACGGGCTCAGTCAATTTGACCAATGACATGACTTCTTTGTACTCATTTAAAGTCTATAGATTTAATACTTCTAACTTTCAATATATTGTGTATATCTTCACAAAATCTGGCAGTCTTTCAGTTAACATTTTAAGTCTTTCACATACAAAAAATCATATTTTTTAGTGAAGTATTTTTAATAAACTAAAATAAAGATTTGTCCATGAATATATTGAGTATTTGTTTTGAATAGTCCATGTACAAAGTGATTTTTATGTTAAGATTAAAAGTACTTTTCCTCAATTAAAAAATCTCATTTCTTTTGTGTAATCCCTAAAACCTTCTAAATGCATTTCAAACGTTTTTTTCAGTAAAACTTTATAGTTTATCTGTTATTTTTGCTACCCTATCTCAAAACGGAATTGGTGAATTTAACCAATTTCATAACTACCAAAAAAAAATATAAATTATCCTCCTTTTCTTTCTAGAATGACTTCAAATTGTAACATGAAACTACAGTTTATCCTAAGTAGCTTTAAGCTGGTAACAGTATACAACTATTTATAATTAAATTTTATTGTTTTATTGCCCTTTGAACTATGTCTAACTGTTCTCTGCACCATCATAAGTTGTAAATCACTCGGGAAAAATGCCGCTTATGTTATGCTATTGAATTACATTACTCACTGGCTACTATGAGCTGCTCTGTGTGTGCCTTGTGAAACATTTTTATTATATTATTATTATTATTATTTATTTTACCTAATCTTAACTAACCTAAAAATAACCCTATTTTTACATTTTAGTTACTTGTATAATAATAATAATAATAATAAATAAAGAATAAACTTGAAAAACAAGAAATAAAGTACTTACCCAATCTTCTTTTTTTTCTTGCTGTTGATTGTTGATGACACTTGACCCCACTTTTTTTATACTAATGGTAGTAATGCACTAAATAATTTTTATTTAGTTAAATAATGCACCAAAGAACATAAACTAATAACATGCAAAAAGTATACAATTTTGCATAACTCTCAAAATTTTTTCTGGATTTCTAACTATGTGACAAGAGCTGTTACAAGTTCATCCAAGCTAGGCGTTAGCTTTCCCGTGAGAATGGAGCTTGTACTCTGAGTGAAATTGATGATTATCTCTTCAGAACACAGCATTATACAATACATTATTTGATAGATAAAAACCTTGGATTTCTGTTGGTTATAAGTAATATATAATTAAACATAAGAGAGAATTATTAACAAATCCTGAAAGAGAGGATGTGGCAGGAGGAGTCTTATTTTCTATTTGAAAGCTCTGTAACCAAACCAAATTGAAGACTACAAAAATTATGGTTTGTCTGAGCAATGACAATTTTATAGTGAGTAATTTACGTTTAATTTCATACTTTTTGGAAGGGTGGTGATAAAATAGAGAAGATGCCTAGACAAAATGTCACACTAGGGGAAATTCAGGATTTTTTTTGTATTGCCTTGTAGAATTAAGAACTTAAAACTTGTATACTATTAAAATATGGATTATTAGCTAAGATTTTATGCTATAATAATTGGTTTAACATAAACAGAAAGTAGTTTACTAAGATTTTATGCTATAATAATTGGTTTAACATAAACAGAAAGTAGTTTACTAAAATTTTGAATGTAAGGCACTAAAACCTCGTGTCGTGCGCAATAAAGGATACCCGTGGTGATAAGGTTAAAAGAACAGTTTATCATTGGCTATCATAGGGAAATAGCTTGTAATGGTGAAATTAGATACTGTTGGGGAAAATTTCATATATATATGTTTACTTAATCTAATGCCAAAAATTTTACTGTATCTTATATCACTGTTATCCTATGTGCAAGTGATTTTAAAAAGAAATTATGGGCACACAGCATAAAAATGATCCATTATGTATCGATTTTATGTGCTATAGTAGCTTACAATTATACCTGGCATAAGTAACAGCCACTAATCATATCGAATATTGAGAGAGAGGCATAGGAACAAACCACGTTTCTACTGGATTTTAACGAAATTCCATTCGCAAAGCCATTTTATATAGTCTTTTGATTGATTGAACTACAACAGCATTAAAAATAAAAATAACTTCCAAACATGAGATTTTCTGATACATTAATGTGACTTGAGTGATGCAATTTCAAGTTTTTGATTCAGCTAACACTGTCATGGATGTTGTTGACAGCTGCAGCCATCACAATACATTGTGGATACTAATGTTGGCTTTGGCTTTTAGTTTAAAAAAATCATACTCTGTGGTTTTTTCACTTCTTTTTCTGTGCATTCAACTGTATCCTTTAAAACTTGATAGGCATAAATAGAAAGGACATTTCGTTCATAAAATCTTTCACAATATAAAAATTTTACAGCTGCTTTATCTTATAAAGGTGTATCTAGATCTTTAGTGAGCTTTATAAGGCTTTTCAGCACCAATTGTTTTATTAATGTGTACAGCCAAGCAACGACAACTGCGACTAATCCCTGTGGGAGCTCTTGATGGTCATGAAGTTGAATGGATTAAAGTGCCTGACACTAAAGGATGTGTGACTTTCTGTGTATCCAGTCTAGAAGGAGTAGATGGAGCTACTGGACTACACTATTATTTTACTGTAGCTGTAAAGAGACAGGTATTATTATGCTTCTTACGACATTTACTGTTATGATCAAGAGATGGGTATTGTTATGATTCTTGTTACATTTATTGTTACCATCAAGAGACTGGTACTGTTATGCTTCTTATACCTTTACTTTTACGATCAAGAGATGGGTATCATTATGATTCTTGCTACATTTACTGTTACCATCAAGAGATTGGTATTGTTATGGTTCTTGTTAGATTCTTGTTAATATTATCAAGAGGCAGGTGTTACATTTATTTTAAATTGCTCTATTTGTGAAGAACATCCGTGTTATATGGATTAGTTATACAAAGTAGATGCACTATAATTGTTTTATATACACAGCAGATGGTTTATATAGATTATATGTGCATAAATCATATTTTATCAACATTGCCAATATTTGTTTACATGGTATATATGCAGTTGATGTATTGTACAAACTTGTATACGTAGTTGAACTATTGTAGATTTCATTTTGCTCAGTTGTTCTACTGTGTGGATCTTATATCCACAGCTAAAGAAGTAGATGATCTTTAAATACCTAGTTGATTTAATCTGTAGATACTGTGTATACAATTTGATATTCTGTGTGGATTTTATATACACCCAATTTGGTTTTAATACTTTCACCTGTATATATAATGTACATATATAATTCTTTACAATCCCATGTGCTTTGTGAATTTTATGTACACCCAATTTGGTTTTAGTGCTTTCACTTGTTGATATAATGTACATTTATATAATTCTTCACAATCCTGTGTGCTGTGTGAATTTTATGTACACCCAGTTTGGTTTTAGTTCTTTCACTTGTTGATATAATGTACATTTATATAATTCTTCACAATCCTGTGTGCTGTGTGAATTTTATGTACAACCAATTTGGTTTTAATACTCACTTGTGGATATAATGTATGTATGTAATTCTTAGTGAAATATATATTGATTAATTCAACATATTTTCAATTGATCCAAATATAATTAACTCCAAATGTTTTAGTTCCTGAATTTTTGTTGTTGCAGGTTGTCATCTGTTAAGTTTCACAAATCTTTCATTTACTGCTGATTATTTATGAGCATGTTATTGTTGTATGAATTTATTGTTTGTATGTTTTGAATTGTGACTAATAATGTTCTGAATGCTTTTCTCAGTAATTTGTTGGATATTATATTTATCTTTGATGAACTACAAATACTTTTTAATAAGTGAATTTCATTTCTATATGTATTGAAGTAATTGTATTTCATGTTTGGGGGTAATTAATTATGACTATTTAAAAGGGGGAATTGTATTTGCAGAACAAATGAACCATGTTATGTAGGTTGAACTACAATAACTGATTTTACTTAATATTCACTATTTAAAGTGATTTTACACACCTAAGGATTACTTAAATGGTAAAAGAAAGAAATCAAATGGATGGAATACCCTTAACTGTTAAATAATTAATTTAAAATGTATAACTTCAGTGCACTTTATTGTCATTAAAAAAAAAACTTATAAAGTTATTATACTTACAGTATATTTCTTCTTGTAGCTGACTATTTATGAGATAACTCGTATGAAGGTTCGCCATCAGAAGTATAAAGAAATTCAACTCCCTGGTCAACCACAGTGCTTGGATGTGTTTGGTGAAAAAATCTGTGTGGGTGTTTCATGTAATTTCTACCTGTATTCACTGGAAGATGACAGTGGCCCAACATGTAAGTGGTAATAAATAATTGTTAGTGAAAAATCAAAATTCATTATTTATTACAAATGCATTAAGCCATTTATTTAAGGTTAAGTTGTTCATAGTTTTCATAACTTTAGAGTTTTTTTAATGATATTGTATGTTACATTTTTAGTTAAATTTCAGACTATATTTTAATATTAAACTTATTTTACTTCTACTTTGTAATAACTGCTCATGCCAAGAAAGGGTAAAGAGAGCTTGCTACTTTTTTAATAAAACTGAATCTGTGTTTTAATGTGCTGTATCATGCAGTTAACCAGATTCTGACTTCTACAGTTTCTGATTTTATTTTTGACATCTGTACCCAGCCAATCAGACTACATGGTGATCATATTGCACTAACTGGAATTCACTAGTCTGTTGTGAAAAGGTCATCTTACTAACATTTAAGTCCTTGCCTTTAAATTGTATTGTTATATGTGAATCAAAAAGTAGGCCAGTGCTTATTCATTTTTTACAATGTTTGCACAGTCTATGACTGATGTGGGTCACTGGATAGCTTGATTCAAAGCACCTGAAGAGCTAGTTTCAACAGCCAACTGTGTGAGTTGTGTAAGCTGGTGGGTTTGATGAAGATGCACATTTTGCCTTATCACCCCCAGTCTGATGGTTTAGTACAGCAAGCAATAAAGACTGTCAGGAATTTGCTTGCAAAGTTTGTTAATCCCAACCAGATTGACAGGGATGAAAACATGTATGTCATGATGACATGTCACACAACTGAGTAGAAGTTTAACAGGCTTACAAATGATCTTCATGTTTGTGCAGGAAGTCTTGCTCCCTGTAGATGTGATGTATTGTCCTCCCTCTAGAATGGACTTCCTACAACTTTTACAAGAATGTGTGGATTGGTTAAGGTTTATGTTAATTGATGTGTGCTAGTTTGTAAGTTAACAGCTAGGAAAGACCTCCATGACAGAAGAAGTGCTATGGTAAGACAGTGAAGGAGTGAATGTATGACAATGAAGATTGGGTGTGGCTTTGGTGCATGCCAACAGCACAGAAGTCACTCAGCTCCAATTGGACAGGACCTCTTCTTGTGCTCTGATGAGTAGCTTCATTAACATAGTAGTTAGGGCAGTCAAAAAACATGCATAGTACGTGTTGACCAGCTGCATCTGTACATTACTGATGAAGTTCATGTAAACTAGACTGACCAGAAATCAGATCAGTACAAGAGCACTGTTTGATCCCACTTCAATCCAGAAGATTTAAAATTAAGAGCTGGTCATTCAGGACAAGTCAAATCAGTTAACTACTGGATCTGGAGGTGAGAAGCTGTTTTGACAGTCGGTCAAACTGTTGCTGACAGCCTACAGATTGATTCAACTGGAATTAAACTTTATCATCACAAAGATGGGACAGTCATGTGAATGAAAGATTTTATTATAACTATTCAATTAGTGAGCAGTTTAACTTGAATAATTCAGTGCCCTTTGTACCATAAAAGGGCTTGAATGTAGTCAGTGACACAAATGCATCAGGGTGAGCAGGGTCTGATGTCAGTATTTAGCATGTAAGCAACTTTTGCTAATTTTGAACCTCAGCTCCAGTTAAAATAATAACAATAGTGAACACATTCATATTTAATATCTTAGAAGAGAAATACAACTTTAAATTCACAGATAAACAGAAACTTGCTGCTGAATCTGTAGTAGACTGTAAAGATATGTTCATTGTATTTCTAACAGGATATGGAAAATTTAAGAGTTACTTGCATTTGCAGAAATGTATTGATTTATGAAATATGAAACTGTCACCATTCTTGTGTTTGACCAAGTATAAAAAAAAAGTTATGAAACATTTGCTACAGAATGCCAAAAAGACAAAGGCATTTCTATTCAGATTGCCAAAGAAGCTCTCTCAATACTCCTCATCATATTGATGCATGTCTTGCTATATTGATCTAGGACCATCCATACGGATGTACAACTTGATGTGTTGATATAGGTCTCGTTATAATGATCTGTTTTTGCTATATTGATGTCAGACTTTCTATACTGATATATGTCTTGCTATACCTGTTTAGGTCATGCTGTATTGATGTAGGTCTCATTATACTGATGTAGACTCTGATATACATCATGTTACGGATGTACAACTTGATGTGTTGATATAGGTCTCGTTATAATGATCTGTTTTTGCTATATTGATGTCAGACTTTCTATACTGATATATGTCTTGCTATACCTGTTTAGGTCATGCTGTATTGATGTAGGTCTCATTATACTGATGTAGACTCTGATATACATCATGTTATTGTAAAACTTTTAGCAGAATACCTTTTAAAAAGGAAAATTACAGGTACCTTGTTCTAAAACAAAAATAAAAATGAACTATTTTACATATAGTGTTAATGAAATATCTTTGATTTCACACTGCAGCTGAAAATATTGCTACTGGAACAAGACACTAGAACATTTCAACAAATGATAAATTGGAAAAAAAAAGTGCAGTTTATATTTGTTAACTTTCTAAAATCAGATGAATGGATTTTTTTTTCAGATTGAAATGTTTTATTAGCTTAAAAGTCTATTTTTGCCTGCCACAGCAGATATCAAAAGTTAAAAGACAAAAGCACAAACTTGTCATCAAAACATTCTTGAAATTTTTCTTCATCCAAATTATAACAGTTTGACAGAACATTAGTAAGGTCACCGTTGCTGTACTGTTTTCCCACACTTCTGTGTCATTCATTATTTAAATCATAAAGATCAAACATATATACAGTACACATTAGTCACCTGACTGCTCCATTGACTATGTTTACAAACATTTATTTGTGACTTCTCTTTTATGCACTAAATTATGCTACAAATGGTTGAATCATGTTCACAATTCATAATGATAAAAAAAAACAGCTGCTCTAATGGATTTTGTCAATGAATGCATTCAAGTATTAATATAGCAGTCAGAGCTAGGCAGAATATAACAACTGGATTATTTGGGTTATGAGTATCTAGGATGGTAGTTTGGTTGAAAAGCTAATGATTGAAGAAGTAGCATTCCTTGCTTTTGAACTATCAAGTGGTATTGTAAGGTATGATGTATGCACTACATTATATGATTACCACTCAATTTCTGCAGTTAGGATGGTTTGTTGATTGTGAGATAAGCTGAACCAAAAGGGCTTTAAACCTTTACATTCCTAGCTGTTGAGCAGAGTTTTACTAAGACAGATATCCATAGCATATTGAGTGATAGCTGCTCAAATTAACACAATTTAGGATGACTGGTGCCACTAGATGTAATACCTAGTACATCAATAGTGTAGGTGATATCTGGGAATTAAAAAACTCAGTTGAAAGGCTGTTGCAACTCTTGCTTTCCTAGTTATTCAGTGATTTTCTCTCGACTCTCAATCTGAGGTTCACAGGTTCGAATCCTCGTTCCACCAAACATGCTCGCCCTATCAGCCGTGGGGGCATTATAATGTGATGGTCAATCCCACTATTTGTTGGTAAAAGAGTAGCCCAAGAGTTGGTGGTGGGTGGTGATGACTAGCTGCCTTCCCTCTAGTCTTACACTGCTAAATTAGTGATGGCTAGCGCAGATAGCCCTCGTGTAGTTTTGCACGAAATTCAAAACAAAACAAACCAGTGATTTTCTATGCTAAAATGTTGAGAAGTTTTTTGAGAATCACTCACCTGATCTAGCTGATTGACAGGAGTTCTACATAGCATACTTCATAGTCCTCTGTATCTTTACCCATACATTTGAAGATCATATTACTTCTTCATTGCAGGGAGGGAGTTGTGTTTCTTATGAGTGTATTTTGACATATACTGTAGCAGTAGCAAGAATGCTAATCCTGATTTATGAGAATTTTAGCTGAATTAAGGTGGTGATTATCTTGTGATGTCAGAAAAGAAAAATGTATTGAATTTATTGGCTCATAGGTTACATTACGATACAGCAGTTATCGAGACATGGCCTTATGGTGTAACCTGATAATGTTACCAAAGTAATTTGTGCTAGAACTGGTGGCAATCTTTTTTAAGTTATATGTGTGTGTGACAACCTGTAAAGATGATACATATATATGGCAATTTTATGTGTATAGCTAAGTATGTATGAGGTCTTACACATGTGTCTGAACAGCATGTAAAGCCATTCAAGAATGTTGTGTAGCACAACTGGATCAATTACACAAAGAAAACAACTATTAAGCAACATGTGAATGGAAATAACGGTTTGATCTGGAATTTAGGACTGTGATACGAGGTTAACTGTGATTACTGACCTGTAAGGCATTACATGAAAATACGGCGCAACTGTTACCATCATTAATACTTGTGAGAAAAAGTTTCATTTGAAATACTTGGTAGGTAATGGATTTAATACAGATGTAGTGTATGCTGAATCTGTATTAAAGGGTTGCATGTAAGTGTTTACAAGAGCAAAAGGAAGTTACTGTAGTCCTTGACCAGTGTGCCTGTATACATTTATTAAAGTTAAAATTAATGTTAGCTTGAGGGCAAGCCTGAAGCAAAAGGAGGAGGAAGAGCGATGTATAAGAATATTATGTATTTTCTACCATTTTATTGTAATATAGTATTTTTAATAATTAGTTGGCTTAAATCCAGTAAGAAATGACAGTCCAGAGTATTAGCAAGCATACACACTGTGTTTGTGTTATTTAATAAAGATTTGTATTTTACATTGTGTCCAATCTTTTAGTATATTTTCATGATATCAGTTATTCAGAGATATTTAGAACTACTCTACTAGGTACTTTGTTAAACCTCATGTTATTCAGCAGACCTATCCTGTTGCTGTCAGGATAGTTGTTTCGGCCTGAGTATACTACACCTTGTTTTTTACACATATAGAAAAGTTATGAACTTAGGAACATTTTTGGTGAAAGGAAAGAGATCTTTATCTTACTAGGTATTTGTATACTATATGCTTTAACTAATGTTTGGAGTTTTGTTAGTAAATTAGGTCATGTTTTATTTGTTTTTTAATTTCATGATCTTCTCTACCCTTAGTATAACTGTCACTTGTTTAATGATCCATGAGTTTGAATTTTGTTTTTTCATTGTTCTCGTTATACACCAAGACAATGAAGATTTCATTCTATGAATATGGCTCATGGAGAATCATACATATTGGGATATGAAGTTCCCAGTTCAATTATCAGAAGTCCCATTTGTAGTGTAATCTCAAATTATGAGGTTACTTGATGACTGTGGTTATGGACAGTATAAAGTTTTGGAGAAATAAGGTCATTGTACATACTTTAACCCATAGATCCAACAATGAAGTTTTTTTTTGACAAAGCAAATAATCAGTAAGATTATTTCCTAAGCTGTTGTTCAGACCCGTCTTCAGCTGTTTATGATACTGGGTAATTTGTGAAATCAGTATTATATAATAATGCAGGGTGAGAGGTTCTGTTTTAAAGCTAATTTTTGGTATCCAGCTTTAAGTGTTTGTATTAGTTGTTGTGTGCAGGGTCTGTGCCATTTTGTATACTTCCCATTCATTGTTGGGAATTGACGATTTAGTGATCTAAGAGATGAGGTCATTTTAAAGTAAAATATTAACTAAACACTCACCTCTTGCCTTGCCTCACTGTCCATCCTCATCTCTGCAATAATCATGGTGAGCAAAGTATCACTTTTAAAAAAACTATAATTTTGTGTTACTTAAAAAGTGTTCATTCAGTTACTATCTACATCATATGAGCAGTAATATACTTCTGAATGTCATTATAAAAATACTTTTATATAAAATATCACAACAGTGTTTTAAGTACCAACCAAAGCTGTAAAGAAACGTCTAGGAAAAAAGGATTTGTGGTTTGTGTAGCAATCTGGTATGTTTTTGAGAGTACAAGACAGAAACAGTCATAAATGGACACAAAAAAATCTCAAATTGAATTTCACGTTCTTCAGAAAACAAAAACTATTTTATATTATGTTAGCCTTTTTCTGTAGAACTACTGTTGTAGGTACACAACTGTGAATGTCTACTAAAAGTTTAATTCTAATGACTTGAGTCAATCACTAACTGAATGTGTATATGAAAGCTAACAGACACAAAACTGAATGTATAGTTGTGGATAAACAACATAGTAATGCTTATCACATAGTCTCTTAAAACTTTGTAAACAGAAGTTGAAAACATAAAGGTAGTATACAAATGTTATTTTAACAATTATCTCTGCTATTTGATATTAGGTATGATTCCACTGGACAGTATAGAGTTTGCCTTTCTTCGTCACAGTCCTATGGATGCCTTGTTGTCAGTAGAACTTCCAAGCAATGAGTACCTTCTAGTCTTTAGCCGTAAGTTTTTGTTTTTATTTCTTAATTGGCTTAAATGTAATAATATATAAAATGAATGCTCCTATAGCTGCCGATCCACTGTCTTGCTGTGTTTATTATGTTTTTTACTATTTATGGCTCATTTTGTGGGAAGTATGATAATAGTCCCGTGGAGTGAAATCAATAGCTTGAAACTTTATGTAAGTTGATTTATTATGGTCAGTTGTTGACATTTTAATATCTGTGTAATTTATAATGTATTTATTGGTTATTCTTCACACAGATTTATAATACCACTAAAAACATTACTCATCTTATTTTAAGTTTTCAAATGTTTTTGTGATATACAAACACATAAACTATTTTTTGGACAACTGAAGTTTTGGAATTTACTATTTTAGTAAATTTTGAAATTTTTTAACACTTGTCTACATTGTTGTTTTTTCATGAAATTTTCTCATTTTTATTTATTCTTTTTCCCTTGGATGAAATTTAGTTTCTTCTTGATATTTTCATATTTCAAGAAAAAACATTAGGTTTGGAATGTTAGATTTCTTTACAAATGAAAAAAATCTCAAGTTTGTTTTATTTTTGAATAGTCAATCCATGTTTTTAATTTAAATTGTAAGTAAAATTAAATTTTAATATAAATCTAACATTTTAGGTTTTTCCCTTCAAAATGAAAATATGGTCAGAAATATTTTTTTTAAGATAACTTCATTGGAAGAGTGTAAACCTGGTTTGAAGCTGAACTCTTATTGCACCAATGGACATAATGGGAACTTGATACCTGACTGATTCAGTCTTAAGTAATTCTGCTGTTATGTCATCTGTTTGTTTGAGTTAACATGAATTAGACTTGACAGCTTGGTATCTGACTGGTTTCAATTTTAACTAATTCTGTCATTTCATGTAGATGTTTGAGTTAACAGTTTTAATAAATTCCATCATTACATCTGGATGTTTGAGTTGGTATGAATTATTGTTGGGATTGTGTGTATTGATTAGTTCAGTGCAAATTGATGATGTGATATTTGCCTGTTTCTAGGTCAACAAGTGTTATCATAATATTTTAATGTATGCACTGTTGTAACTAATGCTGATACATATTTAATCCCAAATGAACTCCTGAAGTATTACTGATTTTTGTGACATGGTGTTGGCTTTATAAAATCTTTATTTTTGGTAGTAAAAGGCTTGAGTTTTTGTTTTGGCTTAAGAACCTGAGAAGATATATGATAGCTTTTCATGTTACCTGGGAATACTTTAAAAAATATATTTTATGACTTACAGAACTTGGAGTTTATGTTAACAAAGATGGAGAAAAATCCAGAGAAAAAGAACTCATGTTTACTGCAAGCCCCACAGCAGTCAGTAAGTGATGAAATATAGTGTGTATTTTTTTATTATAATTCCTTAATATTGGCTTAGGACACAAATCACATGTATGTACACATTTACAGAAATTCAATTGTGTTCACCTTATATAATGTACTTTATTGGAATGATTTTCAGAAACTGATTACCTGAATACACACTAAATCAAAATTAAAAAAATCATATCACAAAATGCTTTTACTTCTTTTTTTTGTACTAACATTTTCTTGTTATCTCTTAAAATTAGCCTTTAATTATAGAAGTTATTTATTATGTTACATATTTTGGATTGGTGAGACCAAGATAACATATACTAGAAAACTTATTTCACAGTTCATTAATAGTAGGTTCAGTGGAAAAATAATGGATTGAAGTTCTGTTCTAGCACTTATAATTTTACACCAATGTTTCATGGTATTGTAATTTCTCATCTTTAGTAATTTATATTTAGGTTATTATTGTAGTTTTTCTCTTTTGGCTACTGTCTTTCTTGTTATACGATATTCATGTAATTGATATAATTTCTTCTTGTAATAATGTATGTATGTTAGTTTTATTAGTTACAGTAATGTATTCTGGTTACTCTTTTAAACCCCCTAGTGGCTTATTGGTGGTGTGAGAGCTATAATGTATATAATGCTAAAAATGGGGTTTTAATACCCACAGTAGGCAGAGCATAAATAGCTTGTCTAGTTTTGTACTACAACAAAACAAATACTATTTTAATATCTCTTATTTAGCAGTGTGTTCAGGTTACTGATATCATCTCTCACATGTGTAGTTATTCATTCAGGCTACTATTATAATTCCTTGTGTGTAATTATATATATATCCTGGTTTAGTGTTGTAATTTAATTTTTCACTTATAGTAATGTATCAATAAACTACCTTCTACATGTATTTTTATATTTCTGTGAGGTACCTAATTTTTTATACTGATTTTCAAGTGATTGAATACTCATTGTACTCAGTTGTTGGTGTAAATGATTCTGTGAATGGAACCCTTGATGAACTCTTATTACTTAATACTCTGACTGTCGTTAACATTTTAAATAAAGTTTCAGGTTTACTGTGATGAACTTGAAGTATATGTAGTTCTTACACATTATATATATATATATATAT